AAGTAGCAAAAATATTTGTTGAAAATTAAATTATTCTATTATAATTAATTGCTCAATATTCCTATTATTTATTTTCTGATCGATCTTCAACATAAGTTTGACGCATAAACGAATAAGGAACAAACCGCAGCATATTGTTATATATTTTTTAAATTAGTACATTCCATATGTATATGACAAACTAAAACCTATATATAGCAGTATCTCTATTATAGATAAGGGTAAATTGATTTTATGTAGAATTCTTCTGTGTGGATGGAGTCATTATAGAACAAATACGGAAGTAGTACTCAAAAAATCATAACCAGCACAGTAACACTATTATAAATGTTGAAGTCTTTCAGTCTGTTGGCTTTTCACAACTAAACAGGTATTAATGAAATTTGGTACGAAGAGAGATTGTATCACGTGGACGGATATTGCCTATATTTTATTCTAAAAAATAATCCGGGAGGAAGTGACATACAGAACAAAATTTTATGCAATATTTGATATAAAACAAAAACAAAAACATGCAACTAAATTGTGAACATCCTATTTGAAATGTGATTGATTTAAAAGGTGAAATAAAATAGTAATCCATTCTTAGTTTCTATTGAAAAACTGTGTGAATGATCAAGGAAAATAAAATAAGTTGAGTATTTAAATTCTAATTATTCTCTTCATTTAGTTTTGTAACTGTTCACTAGCAAGATTGAAACTAGCTCTAATTCAACAATTAACAAAAATAAATAATTTATAACTGTCATTCATTTTGGACACTTCTCATTTTATAAAATGTAAATGGAATCCCATATAAGCTACTGATCGACCTGGTGGTATATGGTAACTGTTGCTTATATATGTAAACGGACATAAACGGACCCGGAGGGAGATCTCGAGAAAACAAAGACGTATTATATGTATTGCCAGTAATGATTTAACAATATTCATATTATACTACCTACTCGCTCCGGCTTCGCACGGGTGTACATAAACTTCTTAGTTATTTTGTCTATTGCTGATAACTACGTCAAAATCTGTTGCGTGGTTAAAAGATTGAAGCGTACAGAGGCGTGGGAGACTTTGGTTTATACTTTGTTAAGGTCAATCATTATTATAATTCAAATAAGTGATCCGCACCGGCGTTTCTCGAATGGTACAAAACTGTATTATATATTATTTTCATTACTTACTGTGTTGATGGATGAAAACAGCATGAATACCAGTTTAGTTGTTTTTGGAACTATCGCGAATATACAAACAGATAGACTTTGTCTGCTAATGTGTATATTAATGAACAATAAGGTATTAATTAAATCTTGTAATTATAAGAATAATTTTAAGAAATTACTAAGCATTTTCCTGCTATGTAAATTTATATTTAAATACGATGTTTTCTAAAGAATACATTTATACAAAAAATGCTAATGCCTTTACAATTATTGTTGTTGCTAATCTTCGAAGAGGATAATATCTAACATCAATTACCTGGATACCTTAGGTATCTAGATCTATTATAAGACTATTACTACTATTACTATAGTAAGAATATATAACATACTTCGAGTAAATTGTGGAAAAATTAGTTAGGTGATTTATTGTATTAATAATTATCCACTATTACGCAACACAAAGAAAATACATTGCTTATTTTCAACAAAAACAGGAATTGGAAAATAGATAGAAATAAATCATAGATTATATATAAGTATAGAGAACAAGAAACTAGTGTTGTACAAAGTACGGTATTTATGTTTGTTTATAAAAACAGCGTAATGTTATAACATATTTGACCTAATAATGAGCTAGCACTAAACAACCATGGTTAACAAATGTAGCCAGTGAATCTTTAGATAAGTATATAAGTATATACATATATCCGTCTGTTTTCAAAATATTATATTTTGTTTAAGCTTGGCTTATAAAGAAAGAAAGGCTTGGCTCGTTGATGTCTTTTAGCTAATAGTGTCTAGGCGATTCATTTAGTTAAGATTTTAGAGACCTTGTGTAACATAATTAAAACTACCCACCTTCAACCCTTACTATAAATAATTCTAGTAATGTTTACTTTAAAAGTATTGTTATTTTTATTATTTTGTTTTCTTGTATGGAAGTTCGTTTCATTGAAGACTGTCTATTTTGTGTGTTGTACTCCAATTTAAATAATAAAAAATAATATATATTTATATATATATATATATATATATATATATATATATAAACATTTTCATCTCCTCAGTGTGACCACAAAATAGTATCTACTAATATCTACTATAATTTTATTTTAAACGTTTAGGACACGTAACCGACGATATTACCGCCGAATACTTTTTTTAGCAAATAACTTCCGCGTATTAAATTACTACGAGTATAGTCAACAAAGAATATTTGTATTTATTGTAATATAAAACTAATCGACTACCTTGTTTTCCGGTCTGAGGTCATGTATAATAATAACGTAAAAATGTGTAAAATGCAGCTTTTATCGTAAAATCAGGTAATTATGAAAATAGTTTACTTATATTACAGGTTTTGATTTACTGAGTAGTAAAAATATTATAACCATATTAATATAATTTATAAATATATTAGCATATGTTAAATTTGTACTATACAGCGTTAGACTATTACTATGATTCATCTAGGTACTCGTAGGTTGATACATAAAAATATTACCACGTATTTTTGGTTTCTTGACATCAGTAATAACAGTTCAGTAGAATATAGTTAACAGTTTTATTACTCATTGAGGTATCTCAACCACAAATGTTACTCTGTCATAGCAATAGGGTGCTACCGAATTATCTGTATTTATTTCTACATAGCATAGTATTATAAAATTTCATGTTTAATTAAAAATAGTCGTTGCTGCCTCAGTCACTTCGGTAAATGCTTGACTTGGTGCAAAAGGCTTTGTTTAGGTAATAAATAAGCTAGAGTATTGAAATTTGTCTTATCTAAATAAAGGACTTTGAAAAATTTTTTATAAAATATATATATATATTTATTAATTTAGCGTAAAATGTATAAAATTGGCGCCTATAAGTCAAACTCTACCAAATGATGTGCATGGCCACATAATTTTATTAGTTAATATCTTACCTATATTTGCTGTGAAGCAGCGATGCGTGCGTTATAGTGTTACGGTCTGAAGAGTAAAACATTCAATGTAATCTCTGTTACAATTGGCGTAACACCTTAGACCTCAGAAGTGGCAATGCATAGGAAATGACCTGACAACAATGTACTTATTCTATATATATATTTATGTCATCGGTCATTCTCGTGAACGGGTGCTGGTGTTCGAGTTACGAACACTGATTTACTTTTGCAATAGCATATGTTAGTGCTCACTCTATTCTCCCAAATGTGAAGATTCTAAACTTGATGAAGTTTTCAACTTGTTTGTGAAAAGGACTGCATTTAATCTGATCTGAAGATTTTCGGATGAAGTTAAAATGATTGTCGGGAGCAATATATATATAGCAAGTTTATAAGATATCGTTTTATTAGAAATATATAACAACATTATTCTGATTTTATAACACGACAATAAGTTCTAAGTATTTAGTCAATATTTATATTGCTTTATGGCCATAACAAAATAAAACCAATCAACAATTGCCTGATTGAATAGTTGATTGGCTATGTGTACTCGTAAATATGAATGCGAATAAAATATTTGTACTCCAATAGCTTCCTGTATGCTATTCGACGGTTTTGCCAAAGTCAATTACTAATTATTTATATTGTAACAATTTATTCTTCAAGTAAATAAGTCAATCTTTACTCTGAGTTTGTTACATAGGATATCTGTATTTCATACGAAATACCGAATTATTTCTAAATGTTATGTAAATATATTAAGGTTGATTTTCAAATAACCGCTTTACAATTTGTGTCCTTAGCAGAATTACGAACATACATATATTATGAGTATTTATTGAACTGATTAAATCTGTGAATGATCCATTAGTTTAATAAATAAAAATAAAGATTGCACGGAAAAGCTCTAATCAACCTCGACATAGTTATCGTTTACGACTATAATATTTGTATTTCAGTTAACGCAACTTTTGCCTTGGAGGAACAACTGGGGTCACAAGTTAAACTGTCAAACGAATATTGGAACAATGGCCATGAGGTGCGAAAGTTGACACGGGACAACGTGCGAGCCCATTCAATTATCTTTTTGTCGGTTCGTGAATGTATTTAGTAAAAAACATTGTAGTTGGCTAGTTGGCTATAACTTATGACAAACGTCTAGTACTCAACAACAAGATTGCATGTTTAGTTACGTATTTAGATATTACTAAATAAATAAAAAAATTAAGAAAAAAATAACAACCTCTATTATTATGTGATTATTCTAACAATTGTTTTCTGTCTGGTTATTGTTCCCGTCACAGAAGTTTTGATGATTCTCGAGAATTTGTTTTTCTTTAGTGTTTGTACATTAGTGTTAGATGTCACTGAAAAATTTTAGAGTTAGTAGGTATTATTTTTGTGTGTTATAGCATGACGAGTTTAACAGGAAGTGTTGTCTAACAAGACGAGATTGTATCTAGTGCCTTCTGATGTTTTTTTTGCGAAATCATATAAGACTCTTATAAATAAATTCTAAAGTTTATTAGTAACTAAAATTTATATCATTAATTAAACTTTCATATTTATTTTATATATAATAAGATATAAGATAAAGAGATAAATATAATAAATATATAAGAGATAAATTATACATCCTTACAAAAATGTAACATCTTTATAAATCTTAATTTGAATAAAGATCAAGGAGTTGAAGTTGAAACCTATATTAGAATTGTTCTATATTTGTGATCGAAAGAATTTCTGTTATTGAATCCTAAAAAACTAGCCACAAGAATAAGAGACAAATATTACGAATTTAATTTTATTATTTTCGAGACGTATAAATAATACAATGACGTCATAAGTAAGGGCATGTGCATATGAGTGAAATAATTTAAATATAAGTACTCTAGGAATATTCTAGGACTTACGGTCTTCTGGTTCCCATTTTGGCACCGGTGGATAACAGAAAACAAAACAATATCACTATATTTCCAATCAAACGTTCGAATGTCCATACGTATTCAAAAGCCGCGTTCGAAATCGAGCCGTGTGGCTGACGCGCGTCCGTCGCCTCGAACGGCCTGCTTCTGCTGCAACGACCGCCGCTGGGAGGCTGCGACTTGCCACCGATTCAACAACCGACCCGTCAGCGCTCGCGAGAGAGAAAGTTACCAAGTTATCAAACTTCGTGGTTACGTTCGATGATGACGCTATCTTCCCCGCCGACGACGATTGCGTATTCGATGACAAAATTTAATTCGCGCGTCCCCGCGACAATTTACGCGCTACTGACACGGTGAACACACTACCTACTTTTGCCAGTTTGTTGTTTATTTGTTTTGTTTTTAGTAGTATGAATGTTGACAAAATAAGCACAGTTAAGCGAAGAACTGATTCGAGATGAATGTCGTTCAGACACAGTTTGATTTTTATTTATAAGCCTTATGGCATATAAATTAAATGAGTGAATTGATAATGGGCTAGCGGTATTTAGGAGGCTGTACGTAGTGGATTGCAATTAGTACATATCTATAAAGCTACATTTTAAAAACTAGCTATCACATTTAAGAACACTTTAATGAAGGCTGAAATACTTAATGATGAAAAAAATCTGTATAGATTATATATATTTTATATTGAATAGGTATAAATTATTTTTGCATAAATTTAAAGAATACATCAGTTAAAACAGGAATATTTAATATATTAATTATTTACACGTATTCTCTCACATTAAACGATCTTTATCCACGATCGGTGCGGTGGCTGTAGAATAAGAAGGCTGGACTAAAGGTCTGTTGAAAGTATATTTTTAGATACACGTGATGATTATAGTCGCTGATTGTCGTTTTAGATCACGTTGATTGTTTATTTGTTCATATGTTATAATAATATTAAATGATTTAAAAGTAAGAAATATAAACAGAAAATCTGCATTCCCACCCGTATAGATAATGTTTTATATTATTATATCGTGCGTGCAACTAGCAATCAAGTTTCTTTATAGAGCCAATACACTTGACCTTCAATAGTTCAAGTGTAATTTTTAACAATTCATTTCAGAATACTCTTGTAGTTTGGTGGTCAATGATACTGGAATTGATTGGACGTTTGATTGACGGTCATATCTGACGTGTCTTATTTGATTTTTCTATCTGTTATTTTGCTACAGTATCGTGTTACAACTTAAGGTGTAATGTAAAAACTCATGGATTATTTAGTAACTCATTTAAATCAAAAGCAATGATATAAATTAATAAACTTACATTTGTCTAAATAATGCGTATAATTTTCTATACTCTTACATAAGATATGAAATTAATTACCTTAAGAATGTAAGACCTAATTAATTAACTAATTTAACAGAGTTCAATTAGTTTACCAAGTATGACATACAATAAATTAGGACAGGTGTATACTTACATACAGATGTAGACGAGAACTATGATTGATTCGTTTCATGCCAAGTTGAAAGTCGGGTGAAAGGTTGCGAGTGCTTTTACATAGAGATTTGGACCAGTAAAAACGCTAATGAATTCATAACAAAGGTTAGTTGAATTTTGGAAAAAAAAAAAAAACAAATCAAATATTGTTTGAACTAAGTAAAAATATTAAATTATTTCCATTATTATTCGATTAAGTTCGATAGTAGATTTAGTAGGTACAATAACAAAATGCTTTACATATAACCTCTTACATACACTATAACTACAATTAAAAATTGATACATGTTACTAAACTAGCATTCACAAATTGAAAAATGTGAGAAAACTTTGTTAATGGCTTTTATTGAGACGGCACGATTGTATGTTATACAGTAATATATGTACATATAATAACAGGTATATTAATAGAACCAAAATTTAATTTTAATTATAGGTATTTTAGAATAGCTCTCTTTTAAAATTATTTATAGAATTCAAATATTGCCACTCAAAATAACTTGAAACAGATTCGTTATTAAATAATTCTATAATAATAGGATGATTAACAATAATATAGGTTAAGTCACTTCAAAGAATAAATATGTGACAATTGTTAAGGACTTTGTAATAGCTCAAGTGTGTAAAAGTTAAGTAACAAAAACAACGTGAGAGTGTAAACGTCAATGCACAAGTAAGTGAGGTTATTATATTGATCGTATGTTGCATAATACGCGGGTTAATATTTATTCGATTGTACGCGGTTACGTTGCTTTCACTTTTGCGAATGGTGGATAAGAAAAGTCGAGTGACAAAACTATACGAAGTACATGTGGCCGCGAGGCTGTGAGAATTTTTCATCTATTTAGGCCGATTGCAAATATGTACACCTACTTTATAAAAGTTAGTTACGAATTTTAATTGCGGATTGTTCTATACATTTGCACTGAGAAGGTCAAGGGGATGTAACAATTGAGTGTTTTATTGCCAACAGCTGTTTTGATGGAGGGAAAATGTATTTTTGTCTGTGTGCATGTAGTAAATTCACATGGGCATGTAATTTATAAATTGATCAATGTATATTAGTGCTACCTTGAAATTTATGTTTACAGACAGGCCCTTCCTAAACACATATTTAGCATTCATGTACATATGATAAACAAAATAATATTAGGTAATGATTGGATATTTCATTTTAAATTAATTATATAGGCAAAACAAAAAGAGAATTAGTGACTTCACTTATATGTATATTTTCATATTTTTTATGAAAATATTCATGGTATAATTAAGAAATTTAAGATCTCCTGTAAACAGCACTACTGATGTGACGTTATCTTGTTACATCCGTAAGGTGTTGCCATTCCAGAAAACTAAGATGTCATGCCCCTTATTCTGTAATTTTAGTCATTTGTAATTTTAAATTTTATTTAATAGTGTTAGCTATTGAGCTAACACTACTATAACACTACTTATAAAGTTAGCTGTTAGGGGGTTAGGCTAGATTGAGCAATCTACTTTTGGTAAATTTTTATAAAGAAGTTTAGCTCCATTCCCTACTATATTAATTAGTTGTTTCACGCGTACTCGAGTCCATGTCGTTTTAATATTGTAGCATATTGCATTTGGATGCTGGAAATTTCTTCATGAAACTAACAAAATAAACAATATTCCTAATATTACTTACTTTACGTATATGGAAATTGAATCAGAGACTATTATTAAAGGAGGATATAATAAGTGTGATGTAATACTGCAGTGTCAATACGAAATTATTAAGTGAAAGTGGCAAAGGAAGTTCCGAACTTGGCTTATGACATCACGGCATGAGTAGGTCATTACCTCAATATTAACTTTAAGCATAATATCCCTATACATAGAGTTTAATACAAATTCGTTTTTATAAGATAAGTAAGTTTATGTACCTGTCGAAATGGAAAACTAATAAAACAAAATGTATGCGGAACGTACTTAGTTACGTTTAATTAAAACTTATACTTGTGGAAGTATTTTGACATAAAAATATTAACATATTTTATGGTTAATAACAATTTAGAAAGAGTAAAGAATAATTTAACAATCATTATTTTTTAGGGTTATGGCAAATAAAAATAATGGATTTTTCAATTTGATTAACGATTTTGAATACACGTATATAAGATTACAAGGCGATATTACCAAAAATTTCACTTTCAACAAGCACGTGATGTTAAAGTAATGCAAACATATTTAACAGATTCGTTCAGCTTTCCTGATATAGCTGTACAAAAGCATTCCTTATTCGGTTTCAGCTGTTCAGACATTTAAAAGAATAGTCGAACTAGGACGACTCTGTAGTCGGTGTATAGGCAAGAATACTAATTGTTATTGTTTTATATTTTAGTGGCTGAGTTATGTAACATTTTATTTCGAAAATAGTAGTTGCCAAAATGTTATTTGTACTTATATTTCGCATATATGTTTAGTGGATATTTGAGTCAATTTAATAAATATCATATTAGCATACAATAAAATTTTATTCTTAGTATTTAATTTTATATTTTTGTCTGTTATATGTATATTAGGGAATATGATTTTAATATTACGTTATTAATCCATTAAATTATTAAGATGGATATAATAGTATTAGAATAATATTTAATATTGTTATAATTATAATTGGCACTTCTTTACAAATATAAGAAGTGATGAATTCGTAACGATACAGTGTAGGCATTAAAATATCCTACATTGTACTTATTCTAATGTGAATCTACCTTAAAATTGTATTAATCTGTAATGAGTTTTATGCCCATAAATGTTGCTTAACTCACATTAAAACAACCAATCATTAGAGTAACGTACCATTTTCTTAATAATAGAGCAGATTTGATTTTAAATTCTGAATTGGCTATAAATAAAACTGACCGTCGAATATGTTGGAGTAATGTGTCGAGTTAAACGAGATTAAATTTTATATGATTAATCTGCTCTGTTTAGAAATTATTCTGGAATTTTGAATCAGTGTTATGAATTGGAGATGCTGTGGGCGATAGCTAAGTGGATTGTACGTGTGAGATTATTTAAACGACGGATAAAAAACTGAAAATTAGTACAATGTAGATACGAACATTAACAATAAAAAGTATACATACGTAACAATAATTTATACGACAATTTTAAAATTGTAAAAAAGACATTTCAAACTGATTTAAATATAAATGTCATAAAATTCCGCAGAGTTTGCGACAGATGCCTTTATTTTATACTAGCTACCCACCCCGGCTTCATACAGGTGTACATGTATTATACATATAAATCTTCCTCTTGAATTATTATAAATCTATTAAAAAAACGCTTCAAAATTTGTTGCGTAGTTTTAGAGATTAGGCATACTCGTACATAGGGACAGACAGTGACAGCTACTTTGTTTTATACTATGTAATGATAGTGATTGAGAATATATCATTACTTTTTATATTTATACATATATGAAGCGATGTAATTTATGATTCCATTACTTATCCTCGAATATTGCACACTTTTGTGGTATCTAATATACCACAAAAGTGTGCAATTGTAGATATACAGTATACTTTTTATATTTTTTTATTTTATAATATTTATTCAATTAACTTTAGTATATACAAAAGGTAAAAGTTCATATGGAGGACTTTACACCT